GGGCTACGGTCGTGGGCCACCAGGCCCAGCTTAGTTACTTACTTATTTACTTGTTTAGAGACAGGGTCTCACCCAAGCTGGAGTGCAGTGGCATGATCACGGCTCACAGCAACCTCTACTTCCCAGGCTAAAGAAATCCTCCCACCTCAGCTGGGACCACAGGCATGTATCACCACACCCAGCCAATTTTTTGTATTTTTTGTAGAGACAGGGTGCCCAGGTTGCCCAGGCTGGTCTCAAACTCCTGAGCCCAAGAGATCTGCCTGCCTCAGCTTTCCAAAGTACTGGGGTGACGGGCATGAGCCACTGTGCCTGACAATCTTTTAAACAGTTTTTGTACAGACAGGGTTTCACCATGTTGCCCAGGCTGGTCTAGAATTCCTGCACTCAAGAGATTCATCCTCCTTGGCCTCCTAAAGTGCTAGGATTACAGGAGTGAGCCATCACAGTCCAGCTGCCTTTTTTACTTTTGGGAGGGCATCCTATCTATCCTCTAGATGTTGAGATTAAAACAAAACAAAAACAAACCAAAAAAACCATCCTGCTGTTATATAGATGACAGTTAATGGGCTCATAGGCGGACAACTCCAAAAACTACTCACAGGGAAGATAATGTAGCTGTGAGTTCAGTCACACTATTTGAGAAGGTGTTCATCTCTCACTCTTAAATGTAAAGCTCAGTGCTAAACAGGTAGGCTCAAAGCCCCATTACATCCCTTGGCCTTCCCCCTAGTACCACCACCAAATTTCTAATTTCTATACATGCTATGTGCTTCAACTGTAAAGTTTTCTTCTACAAACTCAGATACCTCTTGGCAGGTTAACACTGTTCAGCATACCACTCTGGACAACCACAGCCTCTGCACACTCACTACTTCTTTTTTTTTTTTTTTTTTCTTTTTTTTGAGATGGAGTCTCACTCTGTCGCCCAGGCTGGAGTGCAGTGGCACCATCTCGGCTCACTGCAACCACCACCTCCAGGGTTCAAGCAGTTCTCCTGCCTCAGTCTCTCTAATAGCTGGGATTACAGCCATGCGCCACTGTGTGTGGCTAATTTTTGTATTTTTAGTAGAAATAGGGTTTTGCCATGTTGGCCAGGCTGGTTTCAACCTCAAGTGATCCACCCGCCTCCGCCTCTCAAATGGCTGGGATTACAGGAGTGAGCCACCACACCCGGCCCACTGCTTTCAAAATAACTATATTTACAAGGGTATTTCCCCCATTTGCATTTCCCACACATAGGTTTTGAGAAGAGAACAAGAATGCCGTTTACCACATTTTACCTGTCCTTTTTTTCCCTTTCGAACAAACTGGTCTAGGGGCCAAGCACAGAGGCTCAAGCCTGTAATCCCAGCACTTTGGGAGGCCAAGGCGGGCACATCACTGAAGGTCAGGAGTTTGAGACCAGCCTGGCCAATATGGTGAAACCCGGTCTCTACTAAAAATACAAAAATCAACCAGGTGTGGTGGTGCATGCCTGTAATCCCAGCTCCTCGGGAGGCTAAGGCAGAAGAATCACTTGGACCCGGGAGGCAGAGGGTGCAGTGAGCCGAGGTCGCGCCACTGCACTCCAGCCAGGGAAACAGAGACACCATCTCAAAAACAAACAAACAAACCAACCTATCTATATCAGTGCAAAGTTCTGCTATGTTGAATCACTGGGTAGCAGAAAACATTTCACAAATGAAGTAAATAAGGCTTAAAAAGTGAAAACAAACTACCTAGGGTAACCCAACGAAGGAGTAAAAAACTGTGACTTGAACCCTGATTCTCTGCCAGCAAGCCCAATGAGAAAGGCTTACAACTAGTGGTAGGAAGGATGATTTTCAGTGGTTCACAACACAAATATGAAAAACAGAAAGGGTATGCAAGTGACTCAAGTTTGGAAAACTGCACCACGCCCCTCTGCTATTCTCACTGAAAGATGAAATTAATAGTAAGCAGGGCATTAAGCACTGATCTCTTCCTAATTCAGATACTTCATTTTTCTTGTCTTCTTTGATTAGCTCCTCCAATAGAATGCTGAATAGAGCCGTAACTGATAATAGCTTTATCTTTTTTTTTTTTTGAGACTAAGTCTCTCTCTGTCACCCAGGCTGGAGTGCAGTGGCTTGATCTCGGCTCACTCCAACCTTTGCCTTCCGGGTTCCAGCGATTCTCATGCCTCAGCCTCCCGAGTAGCTGGGCCCACCACCATGCCCGCCTAATTTTTCCATTTTTAGTAGAGATAGGGTTTCACCCTGTTGGCCAGGCTGGTCTCAAACTCCTGGCCTCAAGTGATCTTCCCATCTCAGCCTCCCAAAATGCTACAGCTGTGAGCCACCTCGCCCGGCCCGATAGTAGCTTTATCTTATTCTAAGTTTAACACCGTTCTAAAGTTTCACCATTGAGTATCATGTTGTACAGATTATTCATGATGCACTTTTTTTTAGTTTATGGAAATTCCTTCTTATTCCTCAGTAAAAAAAATTTTTTTTTTTTTGAGACGGAGTCTCGCTGTGTCCCCCAGGCTGCAGTGCAGTGGCGCAATCTCGGCTCACTGCAGGCTCTGCCTCCAAGGCTCACGCCATTCTCCTGCCTCAACCTCCCGAATAGCTGGCATTACAGGCGCCCGCCACCAAGCTCGGCTCATTTTTTGTATTTTTAGTAGAAATGGGGTTTCACCGTGTTACCCAGCATGGTCTCGATCTCCTGACCTCGCGATCCGCCAGCCTCGGCCTCCCAAAGTGCTGGGATTGCAGGCGTGAGCCACTGCGCCCAGCCCTCAGTAAAAATTTTTAAACTCATCTCTGGTCCACTCGTTTCCCTTCTCAATGCTGCTTTCCACCCACCACCCTTCCTTTCTTTTTTTTTTTTTTTTTGAGATGGAGTATTGCTCTGTTGCCCAGGCTACAGTGCAGTGGCACAATCTCGGCTCACCACACCCTCTGCCTCCCGGGTTCAAGCAATTCTCCTGCCTCAGCCTCCCGAGTAGCTGGGACTACAGGTGCCCGCCACCACGCCCAGCTAATTTCTGTATTTTTGGTAGAGATGGGGTTTCACCATGTTGGCCAGGATGGTCTCAATCTCCTGACCTCGTGATCTGCCCGCCTCAGCCTCCCAAAGTGCTGGGATTACAGGCGTGAGCCACTGCGCCCAGCCTCCTTCCTTTCTTATATTTCAGGTTCCTTCCTACATTCTATGCACCTCAAAGTGCTGTATCTGCCACTCAAAGTAACCGAAACTCTGATATTTTGGGGGTTCTATACCTGTCTGCTGTTTCAGTTCCCTGGACCCAAAAAAAAAAAAAAATCGACAATTGACATTTGAAAGAAAATCCTAAGGCAAACTTTGTTTCAATCATTACTGAAGACTGCAGAAGTAACTGCAGATTATTTCTTCTCTCCATCTCTTTTGTTTGAGACAGGGTCTTGTTCTGTCTCCAAGGCTGGAGTGCAGTGGTGCGACGTGGGCTCACTGCAGCCTTGACCTCCCGGGCTCAAGCGACTCTCCCACCGCAGCCTTCCAGAGTAGTACAGGCGAGCAACATCGCTCCCAGCTAATTTTTGTATTTTTTTGTAGAGACGGGGTTTCGCCATCTTGTTCAGGCTGGACTCGAACTTTTGAACTCAAGTAACCCTCCCACCTCGGCCTCCGAAAGTGCTGCGATTGCAGGCGTGAGCCACCGCGCCCTGCCCTTCTCCATCTCTTAAACACACCCTGAAATGTCCTTTCTTTAAAGTAAAAACTCGGGGGAAAAAAGAACCCAATAGTTCTAGATGACCATTTACTTTCTAGTATGTTGCCTAGCTCTGAATGAGCCTGGCTTTTTAAGTCGCTGGAAGAATCTCAAAGTGTTTTTTTAAGTTTTGAAGAAAGGAGCTGGATCCAGATGTTTATAACTTCGACTCTCTTTGGCTAAAATGAAAAGTATTAAAGAGAAAAGGAAAAGGAAGAGGGGTAGTATGTGTAAGCAAATAAGTTCCAGGACATGAAAGCTGAAGACACAAGAAGGGAAAACCAACCCTTTAAAGCCCAAGCAAGTTAAGAATTCTCTCCCTCAATTTCTTTCAAAACAAAAGGGCACACACAAGCCTTCCCGAAGCAGCAACGCCGGGGGGAGAAGCCAAAATTGTTACATCATACAGAACACTCCGCGCTTGAGAAACGAGAAAGCCAATAAATGCCCAAGACAGAAAAACACAAGTTAGGAATCTCGGTCTTTTCCGAAGGTCCAAGAGCACCTGCTCGTTAGAAAATTTGTTTAAGATTGCATCGAAAATTAAAGTTTCCGTTTCAGATCAGTGGGGAGCAAATGTTTTTTCAAAAAAGCGTTCAAAGAAGTTCGTTTGAAAGCTCATCGGGCGGCCGACTGCAGGTCGGGCTCCGGGCGACGGCGGAGCCGAGCGCTGGGGAGCGGGTGGGGCCGGGCCCCCGCGCCCGGGCGGGGGTGGTGACAGGACCCGCGCGCGCCCGGCGCTGGGGCCCCGGGGCAGGCAAGTCCCGCCCGCGGGCTCTTCCCGACCCACCCGGGCGCGGGACACTGGTCCGGCGTCCGCCAGAGCCCGCGCGGTTGGAGACGGTGGCCGCCGCCCGGGTCCCCACCCCGGACCCCTCGACGGGCCCTCGGAGGCGGGAAGGCGCCGGCGGCCCCCAGACAATGGGCCGGGGACGCGGGAGCCCGCAGCGGGACGGGTGCTGGCGCCGAGCGGGGGCGCCTCGGGACGCCTCTTCCCGCAGCCAGGAGGGCGCCGGGGGCTCGGCCAGGCGGGACCGCGAGGCGAGCGCTCACCTTGACGAAGAGCTCGATGAGGGGCTCTTTGTCCTCCTCCTTCAGCCCATTCAGCGGCATCGACAACGCCATGGTCGGCTCGGCTAGGCTCCGCCAACAGCGACGGCTGCTGCTGCTGCTGCTTGCTCCGGGACTGCTCCGGCTGCCGGTTCCCGCCGCGCTGCTCGCTGGACTGTCCGGCGTCGAGCTGGCCACAGCTTCGGCTCCTCAGCACCGCCCCACGCCCCGCGCGCGACTCTGAGGCAGCCGCAGCCCGAGCCGCTTCAAACGGCGGGGCGGGGCGCCGGGGGCGGGGCCTCGGGCTGTAGGCGGGGCCAAGGCTCGGCGCCTTAGGACTCAGGGGAAAATAACGCGGCAGGAGCACGGGGGCGTGGCCTCGGGCGGGGAAGGCGGTGGGACCGCTCCGGAGCCGACGAAAGGACCACTGAGACGCCTCGAAGCTGGTAGGAGGCGTGGCCTGTGCGGAGGGCGGGGCTTTGGTGGGCGGTACAAAGCGCAGGCTCCAGCGGGCTGGACCCGGGTAAGCTTCTCCAGGGGGCCGGTGGGCGGGGGGACGCGGCGGGGGGAGGGGGGGGAGGAATTCCCCAGGGGCCCGAGCCTGACACTGCCTCCCGCCGCAGCGCCTGCGCGTCCTCTGCAGCTGCTACTGGTGCTGTGCCAGGTGACCTCATCCCTCGGCCGGCCTGAGGAAACGAGGAGGCGCCTCCCACCCACTCCCCCGCTGCAGCACCCCAGAACTCATCGCCCTTTCCCGCAGCGGCCACCTCCCCAACTCCTTCTATTACGCCGAGTTGCCTTTTCCAAGACAACTTACCGGAAAGTTTTCATCGCCTGGGGAACACCTTTTTTTTCTGCCTCTGACTTCGTTTTTGCCTTTGACGCTCCTGATCGTTTCGATCTTGGCAGCCGGCGTATTCACAAATATTTATGAAACCTTACTGTGTTTCTGGCTCTGAGCTACCCCTTGGAGAGTAACAATTCCCAGAGCTCACGATCTTGAACTGCAATTTCTGTGCCTGCAGGCCACTAAGGACTCCCAAGTCGTTGTCCATCTTGTTCCCCACTGCCCACACCCATTTCTTCCCCCTGCTCACCTGGCAAATTTGAGTGTGCATCAGAATCACCTGGGTGCTACACGCAGCCCCGCTTTATGTGTTTCCCAGATCCTCTGGGAAAAAGAGAAATCCACATCTTAGCAAGCACCAGCACAATTCTGAAGTAGGTGGTCCACAAACCAGTTAAACTGCGCTGGGATTTAAGCCCCCGAGGGCAAGAGCTGTGCTTGCCTAGAGATTGTAGGCACCTAGTCCCGGTTTGCTGCCTTTGAGTGCCTGGGGCAAATTTCACCTCCTCTGGAAGCAATTACTTGTGCCCTTTTCTTATTTTCCGTAATACTTGACTCACAGCTACTCCTCCCAACTTCCCAGGTTGGGCTAAACAGTGAGTTCCAGAAGGCCCAGACATGGGAGGTTTGTTTCCATATCCTCGGTGCCTAGCACATATCAGAATGTTTGAACAAATTGTATGTAGGCATGAAAACACAGTGAAACTTGCAACAACTTCTTCTGCCACCCCAAAGCAAGTTGTTCAGATTTTCTCATAGAGGTTCCATGAAAGAGCCAGTGTATCCCAGTGGTCAAGAACACATGCTCTGGAGTCTGACTATTTAAGTTCAAATCCGACAAGGCAATGTCCTTAAAACCCCTAAGCCTCAGTTTCATTATCTAGAAGTGGGCGGGGCTAATTACTGATTCTTGCCTTACCATATGTTCTGCTTGGTCAGTATGGCTGTTACCTGCATTGAGACTTATTCTGTCCCTACCACCCCTGCAGGCTAGAATGTGGCATCATATTCTACTCTCTCTATGCCCGGCTAGTTCATTGAAAATAAATAAAAAATAAATTCCAGAGGCTCCCCTTAGATGGGGGCTTGAACCATGAAAATCCTGAAGTGACTGACTGGACTCTGGACTGAACCCAGTGTTAATTTTTCATAGAATCACGAACTGAAGCAAAGTTTCCATCCAGAATCCACCCTCTCTGCCCTACCAAAAAGTAACCAAATGGTGAATCAGCTCAAAGCAGATCTAAGCCAAAAAACAATTCAGCAGAAACTCAATGTGCCTGAGAATTGATCAAACTGAGGCCAGGCACAGTGGCTCATGCCTGTAATCCCAACACTTTGGGAGACCGAGGTGAGTGGATCACCTGAGGTCAGGAGTTCGAGACCAGCCTGGCCAGCATGGCGAAACCCCGTCTTTACTAAAAATACAAAAATTAGCCGGACATGGTGGCACGTGCCAGTAATCCTAGCTACTCAGGAGGCTGAGGCAGGAGAATCGCTTGAACTGGGGAGGAGAAGGTTGATGTGAGCTGAGACCATGCCACTGTACTCCAGCCTGGGCGACAGAGTGAGATCAGTCTCAAAAAAAAAAAAAAAAAAAAATTGAGTTAGAGGTAGCAAATATTCCCGGTGGTGAGTTGCCTGTCACAGGCTCCAACTGGCCTCACAGCACCAGGGTATGGAAGGAGGAGCAGACCAGAGTCCTTTAGGCTTCATTGACTAAACACAGATCTTAGCTGGGAGGAAGCCAGTGACATTCTCCTCCACAGAGCCCTGAAGTGATGATGATCTCCTGGGCTCCTCCTACCCAACAGAAAGCCCCCCAGGAAGAGGCTCAGACCCAGAGCCTGTGCTTAGAAACCTAGTCACAGTCACACCTACAGTTTCCCAAGTTCCGCCCTCATGTGGCTCCCATGGATGGGCAGAGTCAGTCCTGGGAGTGGGTGAAAGGGAAAGAGGATGTTTATGCAGGGGAGGCACCCTAAGCACATTGCAGTCAAGTCTCCTCTTCCAATTTTGAAATGCATGCCTGTTTTACATTCTTTACTCAGGCTTGTTTTTATGGCACACAGAAATCTTGAAGATGGGTGGAGACATGTTGTCTCCTCCCACACACCCCTCTGACCTCATCTCCTACCATTCTCCCCTTTGCTCTCCACCCCAGCTGCACTGGCCTCCTTTCTAGTCCTTGAATATGCCAAGCACACCGTGGCCTCAGGGACTTTGCACTTGCTCTTCCCCCTCTCTGGAATAGTCTTCGCCCAGAATTTCTGCAACTTCACTTCCACTCCCTTACTTCCTTTGGCTCTTTGCTCAAATATCATCTATGTCATTGTCTCAGAGAGCTCTCCCCAAATACTATTCTGTGCAACGTTGCAAGTTGCTATCTTTCACTCCACCTTCCACTTTATCTCTCTTCATAACACTTATAACCCTCTGATATATATCTACCTATTTATCTGCTTATTGTCTCTCTTTCCCCGCTAGAACATAAATGCCATAAGGGCAGGGATTTTTGGTTTTCTTTATGGCTATATTCCTGGCTCAGAAGACAGATCATGGTACACAATAAAAACTTATGGAGTGGGCTGGGTGCAGTGACTCACACCTATAATCTCAGCACTTTGGGAGGCCAAGGTTGGTGGATCACCTGAGGTCAGGAGTTTGAGACCAGCCTGACCAACATGGAGAAACCCCATCTCCACTAAAAATACAAAATTAGCCAGGCGTGGTGGTGCATGCCTGTAATCCTAGCTCTTTGGGAGGCTGAGACAGGAGAATCTCTTGAACCTGGGAGGCGGAGGTTGCAGTAAGCTGAGATCGCGCCATTGCACTCCAGCCTGGGCAACAAGAGCGAAACTCTGTCTCAAAAACAAAAACAAAAACAAAAACAAACTTATGGAGTGAGTGACTGCACGATGTTTATCCTATGGTTTCATGTACCCTTGACATACCATTTGGACATCTTCCAGTCTGGGAAGCCAGGTGGTTTGTGTTTATGACTGCCACTTCACAGGGGGTCAGTAAGCCTCCTCCGAGGACACACTTTCCTCCTCCCACTTCTAACTCTGTGGTGCTGCTCACTGACTGTCTCAGCCCAGTGTGCTGCAATTTCAGCAGGAGAACGAGCTGCTAGGCACATGGACTCTGGGGCCACACTGCCTGGGGTTCCAATCCTGCCTCTGTTATTTACTAACTCAGGATACTTACTTAACCTCTCTGTGCTTCATTTTGTCATCAGTAAAAATGGATCTAAATTAGTATCATTTTCGCATCTGCAAACATGGATCTAAAATTAGTACCTATTCATATTTAATAGGATCATTGATAAATTAGTCTATGTTAAGAGCTTGGATGGTAAGTGCTCTGTAGATACTAGCTGTTGGTATTATTCCCATCTGTCCATATTCTTGACCAGTCACTGAGCTCCCCCACTACACGCCAGACACCTAGCTGGGCGCGTTCATATCCAATCATATTTATTCATCATGATCTTGCAAAGCTTAATTTTTTTTTTTTTTTTGAGACGGAGCCTCACTCTGTCACCCAGGTTGGAGTGCAGTGGCACAATCTCATCTCACTGCAACCTCCACCTCCCAGGTTCAAGAGATTCTCATGTCTCAGCCTCCCAAGTAGCTGGGATTACAGGCATGTGCCATCATGCCCAGCTAATTTCTGTATTTTTAGTAGAGATGAGGTTTTGCCATGTTGGCCAGAGTGGTCTGAAATTCCTGACCTTAAGTGATCCACCCACCTCGGCCTCCCAAAGTGCTGGGATTACAGGCATGAGCCACTATGCCCAACATTGCAAGGCATAATTTTCATTGTCCTCATTTTACAAATAAGGAAACTGAGGGCCAGGCACGGTGGCTCATGCCTGCAATCTCAGCACTTAGGGAGGCCGAGGCAGGTGGATCACTTGAGGCCAGGAGCTCGAGACCAACCTGGCCAACATGGTGAAACCCCATCTCTACTAAAAATACAAAACTTAGCTGGACATGGTGGTGCACACATGTAATCCCAGCTACTCCAGAGGCAGAGACACGAGAATCACTTGAACCTGGGAGGTGGAGGCTGCTATGAGCCGAGATCGCACCACTGCACTCCAGCCTGGGTGACAGAGCGAGACTGTCTCAACAACAACAACAAGAACAATTAAAACCACCAGGAAACCGAGGATCACAGGACAACTAACCACGAGTCATTCAACTGGGAAGATGGTGGAGCTAGGATTCAAACCACAGCTCTCCAGGAGCCTATGTTTCTCTTCACTACACTGTATACTAAGTGAGCACGGGAAAAGGTAGGCTCCTACCCATTCTTCAAGGCTCAACTCAAATATCCATCTGCCTTAAGAAGCTTCCTTCCACCATGCAGAGGGAGTTAGCCTTCCTTCCTCTTACCAATCTGCAGCATTGGTCTGGATTCTACATCACCTATCAGGGAAGTAAGGGTGGTGTTGCGGTTCTCAATATGGGCTTCCCCTAGCAAACTGCCAGACTCCCAGATTGGGCAAGTTATGATACCTAACCCAAATAAGTTTCCTCTGAAGCACTGGCATTGGTGATATGGTGGTGAGCATAGCTGCCTTCCAAGTAAGTTTCCTCATTGCTTCAGAAGGAAATGCAGTAGTCTGCTCTTATCTGCAGGGGACTATATTTTAAGACCCCCCCCCGTGGATGCCTGAAACCATGGATAGTAATAACCCTATATATACGGTACTGTGTTTTTTCATATGTGCATACCTATGAGAAAGTTTAACTTATAAATTAGGCACAGCAAGAGAGGAATGACAATACTACTAATAAAATAGAACAACTGAGTAAAATAAGGATTACTTAAACACAAGCACTGAGATACCTCCATAGCTGATCTGATAACCGAGAGAGCTATGAAGTGACTAATGAGCCCAAAGTGTAGACAGTGTAGGGATGCTGAACAAAGAGGGAAGATTCCATGCCAGGGTGGGATGGAGTAAGATGGCATAAGATTTCATCATGCTCTGCAGGGCACGGTGGCTCACACCTGTAATCCCAGCACTCTGGGAGGCCGAGGCAGGTGGATCACTTGAGGTTAGGAGTTTGAGACCAGCCTGGCCAACGTGGTGAAACCCCATTTCTACTAAAAATACAAAAAGTAGCTGGGCGTGGTGGCAGGCGCCCGTAATCCCAGCTACTCGGGAGGCCGAGACAGAAGAATCGCTTGAACCCAGGAGGCAGAAGTTGCAGTGAGCCGAGATTGTGCCGTTGTACTCCAGCCTGGACAACAACAGCGAAACTCTGTCTCAAAAAAAGAAAAAAAAGATTTCATCATGCTCCCCAGAATGGCATGCAACTTATTTTTTATTTATTTTTTTAATAGGAGAAAAGGCATACAAATTTACTTAACATGCATACACAGGAACCTTCAGAATGAAGACCCAACTTCCCCATGAATTATAGAAGCTTATGTATCATCTTGAGGTCATAGAAAGAATGGGAGCTTGCATCCTGGTAAAACAGGCTATAGGAAGGGGAAGAAGTATTCTGTTGAGGGGCAAAGAATGATTTGATGGGGGAACAGGGATTAACTTGTAAGTAGTTTTCTTTGGAATTTAAATGATCCTTGGAGACAGTCATTATCCTCATAAAGAGACCTGTTCAGGTGTGGTCACATCTTAGTCTTCTTTTCTATATCACAAGATATAAGTTTAGCTTTCAGGGCCACAGTTCAGGAACCCTCTAAAGGAACTGCATAAACAAGGCACGAGGCCAGTCTTTTTAAGGGGCATTTATCAGTTCTATAAAGTCTATTTCAATTCCTCAAAGCAGTTTGCTCATATTTTAAAATATCCCATACTGGTCAAAAACCTTGATAAAATAACCGGTGTTTCCAATTGTGTCCCCTTTGCAGGCAAATGAGTTTCCTGGGTTCTCTTCACTGTGGCTTCCAGAACAGAACAGTAGCTTTGATCACCCTGATCACTGCACCATACTGTGGAGGCCATAGGCTCATGGTCTCCTAAGAGTTCACTGAAAAATTACTGACATGAGGCAGATTGGTTAATAGGAGAAAAGGCATACAAATTTATTTAATATATATACACAGAAGCCTTCAGAAT